GAGATACTAGCATTATCTTTGTTTGGTTCGGCGTTATGTTCCTATTCCTAATGCAAGCAAGGGTGTTTTATTTACGTGTTTAGTTCAGAGTTATGTTAGTCCCTCTTTTGGTTTATAGTTGCATATCAATGTGTGGCTAGATATGCTAGTTCACTATAAACAAAGCTCTGATACCAACCTGTCACACCCCCGAACCAGACAGCGGAAACGTCCGGGGGCTGTCGTGACTCAATTGAATACCATGACATTGAATATATATGAAACGTAACAACATTCGTCACCATGCATTAATATAGTACAACCAGTAAAGTTTACATGAAGTACATTGTTTAAACATTACATTCCCAAAAATAAATTGTTCGTTTCGTACATAAATAAACTGCAAGCCATCACTGAATATGATTTCCTTTGATTCACTGGTTCCCTGAGAATACAAGTATTTTGAAAAACGTCAACATATGAAATGTTGGTGAGTTCATAAGTAGTGTTTGAAATCCAATGTTTTGTATTGTTTGAAAACCACCAGAAAATCCGATATTTTCTGAAAATAGTATAGTCAAAAAGGTGTGAAGATCCATAGGTATGCTTGTTTGTTTCTATACTTGTAAAAATTGTTCATTAAAATTGTATGCATTCCGAATCCGTATGTATTGAAAAACCCTAGGAAAACCCGATGTTTTCCTAATTCTTTGAATTACATGAATTTACATTGAAACCATTGCAACGCGTGAAGTTATCAATACCAGGCGACGTTGGATTATTTTTGAGCATGATTATTTGCTACAAACACGCGTTACACAAACGACTAGTCTATAGCAATACTAACGATCCCGTAGGCGTCGTCGTACTAATCACGTTATCCAACCGCCCTGACTACGTGTAGTCCCACATCCGAAGAGAAAGAGGACACGAAGGCCTCGATGACTCCATTAGCCGGTTGGGGATAAAAAGGTACGAGGGGTCCCAGACCCGCCTCGCATAAAAAGGTAGACTCTACTAGCAATACCAAAGGACCCTTGGGGACCAGTAGTATACAAGCCATTGAAAGTCCTTTTACGTCGTGTCGGATCGGTAAAACCCAACACTTCGTAAGATAGAAGTCTTCGGGCCTTAAGATCAGGTCATTGGGCTAGCTAGGCTCAACAAACAAGATTTTACACTTTTGGGGCCCAAAGATGGTGCGTAGACGTCTGTGCACACTCGCATGTATATTGAATTCCCAAACGTTATTAGTATGAATCGTAGTGTCGTAGTGTCATAGTGTCGTCGTGTTAGTAGTTTCGGATTTTTATTGGTTCGAGACCGAACCAATTCGTTTAACAACGACTTTTGGTGTTGTAATGTATTGTATTTCATCGATATCGCGGTGCCATCATTTGGTCAAATTGCATGTATTGAATTAGCCTTGAAAGTTTTCTGTTTTCAGCCCCTCATTGTTTGTAAAATTTACTTTTTCAACCCTTTATTTAAATACTTTCCGGTTTGGTCCTTAAATCAATTTTCTTGACATTTTAACACCAAAAATTATTGAAATTAATATTTTTCAGCATATTTTTCATAGAAAACAGCTTAAGTCCCTGAAATTTCAGTTTTCTCGGTTATAACCCTTCTTTTTCGCAATTTTGACAATTTTGGCCCAAATTGTAAAATTTTGCAACTTTGGTCCTTTTTAAATTTAAAAAGCATTTTAAACCTTTGAAAAGGACTTGGAACACTTATAGTCCACTGTTTTACAGAAAAACACAGTTTTGGCCCTCCAAAACAGAAAATTTCGCATAATGGGCCTCATTGGGCCGAAAATGTCATTTTTAGCCCATTAAGCTTGAAATTTATGTTTTTAATTCTCTAAATGAGTATATTTCCAGAAATGGTTTTATTGAAACTGTTTTGACACACCTTATCCATCAGAATTCGTGATATGTCAATTTGGGCCCTTAATTTTTGTATTTTTCACATTTTAGGTCCAAAAATTGTGTTTTTAGCCCAAAGAAATTATTACTAAACCACTTAGCTATTTTTCTAGAAACACTTAGTATGTAGAAATATAGTAGAGGCTAAAATCATTTAACATAAGGTATATCTCGGTTTTGAGGGGTTTTATGGCTAAATCCAACATTATAACTCACAAAAGCACACATATAAGCATGGAAATCATACAAAGCATACAAAACACATATAGATCTACACTTTCACTTGTATTCCCCCCCCCCCCCCAAAAAAAAAAAAACTCATAAAAACAGAAAATAGGGGGTATGAAGCTCACCTTGTTTGAAGGTTTCGGTTTTTGATGAAGATGTGAAGAGGTTTTTGGCCCTAGCAAGCTTCTTGAGGAGCTTTACAACTTAGATGGCTCTAAGATGTATGATTCACGAAATGGAAAGGGTTAAGAGGAGATTTTGAAGAAATCAAGAAGCTAAACCATGGATATAAGTAAAAACTTACCTAGGATGATATTTTTGGTGGAGAATCCTCTTGAAAGCACACACCAACTCGAGATTTTTGATGGAAGATGGAAGAGGTATTTGAGAGTGTTTAAGAGAGTTTTTGAATGAAAAATGAAGGTGGTGAGAGGGTTGGCCGAGAATATGGAGAGAAGGGAGAGAGATATGGTGAGGTGACATGCTTGGAAGTATGGGGGTCCTTGCATGGATGTATGTTGGACATTATGGAGGTGGCACCTCCTAAGTCAATTCTTATTACATTTCCTATATATATATATATATATATATATATATATATATATATATATATATATATATATATATATATATATATATATATATATATATATATATATATGTTTTAATTGATCTTGGGCCGAGATTTTGGGCTAGAGGAAGGAGGGTGAATTAGCTTGGCCCAATACTTTCTTTGGTTCGGAATTATGAAGCCCATAAAGAAAATTTTCGGCCCATTGGGCCTTTAGGGTAGTTCTCGGCCCAATAGGTCCATGAGAAAGGTGTGGGTCATTCTAGGCCCATTAAATCCCAAAATACTATATCTTAATGAATGTGAGTTCAAATAAGGCCCAACTTAAGACTCTTAGCTTAAAAGAATTAAGTTAAGGGTTTATTGGTCCATTAGGTCCAATAAGAGAATCATAGTCCATAATGAACTTGAGTCGGGATATCTAGGGTTTCCAACCCTTATTTAAACATATGAGATATATTTGAATGCTAGTTGTGACACGAAGGCTCAATCTCCCAAATCTTCTAACGATTCTAATATTTCTACATCTTCTGTTTGTGATAAGCAGGATATGTCATGGGAGAGAGTATCATGAAAGGATGAAAAAGGTCGACCCAGTTTCAAAATGGACTGGGTTCCAAAGACCAACTGATCCCAATCTATGTCGGAGCAGCTATGGAGGAATATCATCAGAAATCGGTTTGTTGATAGCGGTTGTTCCAGGCACATGATAGGGGACATCTCTCAACTGAACAACACTCATTACTTTGAGAGTATGTGTCCTTTGCAGGAAAGGAAGAAAGGAAGGGATCACATATCGGGGTTTGTGCTTAACGAAATGAAGAATTTTCGGATCTGTTCTGAGATTGTGCGTGCTGTTCTCAGACCTTCTGGATGCAAATTCAATCAGTGAATTACGGTTTGCGTTTTCTTCTCTATACTCCTGAGTTTTATCTGACACTGTTTCGTTTTAAAGACAATTTTTCAATCTTTTATATATTTTGTTTGTAAGTATGATTTGGGAATTGATATCAACAAGTGATAACGGGCAATCTGAGTTTGTGTAAAGTACTAAAGCCGAATTGTCTAGGCTCTGTGTTCGATGTGCTAGTAGGCACGAAGGATTTAAATGGACTTGACTAGGCAAAGATGAACTTAAGAAATCAAATGACTTGATAAATCTTGACCTATATAGATCCGTTTAGCCTGACAATACGACGCTTGGATAGGTTGAGCAGGGAGATATACATGAGAATCCACCAGTCACATTAAATAACCCGTATCTAGAACTGTGATTTTACTTTTCCTCGATGTACGAATTTTGTCCTTAATTCCGGTATTGAAGGAGGAACTGGGGAATTCCGATAAAGCAATTTGCAGCTGGATCGTGTGCGGATACACAAACTGGTGTGCGGCTAGTGACGTGTGTGGCTGCACACACTTCTTGTGTAATGAATCCAACAGCTCACAATGATCTAAAATTCATTGTTGAAGGTCTGAAGAAATGTTGTTTTGGTTCATGCATTGACAACCATCCCGAAAATTTATTAGAACTTGATCAAAGATTTCTGGAGAAGTGCAGTCGTGAAGAAAGATGACAAAGATTAAAAGTACCTTGAAGCCACAATACAAGGAAAGAAGATTCAAGTTTCAGAAAGGATTATTTGAGAATCACCTCAAATTGATGACAAACCAGAATTCTCTATGGAAATTAATATGCATCAAACTCATGATGCTCTAGACCACATGGGGTATGAAGGAACATTTCCTCCTACCATCAAGAAACTGCTCCCCCCCCCTGTTGGAAATATCTAGCTCATGTATTTGTGAGCTGTATTTCTGGTAGGAGATCTGGTGCAAACGAAATCTCTCTGGTCAATACAGGAGCGATCACAACTTTGGCTTCGGGAATTGAATTTAATCTTTCAAAGTTTATCCTGCACGAATTGGTTATGAATATTGAAGGAAAAAAGAGTGACAAATTTTTGATGTACCCAAGATTTCTTCATATCATTTTCAGCGTTATGCATCCTGAGCTGCAAAGAGGAAATGAGACATTGGATCTTAAATTTGTTGGTCCAAGTGCATTTGGTTTAATGAAGCAGAAAAGAGGAGGAAAGTTTGTTTTTGAAGGGAAATTTCCCTTAATAAAATTTGGAATTGTTTCTAAAGATATTAATCAGTCAGACTCGGAAGATCAATGTATTCCTACAGAGACTGAAGACGTTGTGATTTCAACTTCTGAGCCAGAAAATGAGAGGTTCATGTTTCTCCTATAGCTGTAGTGGTTGAGGATCATGATCAGCTACATCATGTGGAAGTTGAAACACAATCTATCCATGAAGAAATTGATGAAGATCTTAATGATGATGTGGAGTTTTTTGAAAGAGATAGGTTTCACCGGGATCAGTGATGATATCCCTACAAACATCAAACTCGATCTTGACGATGACGAGTTTGGTCCATTTCCGGGGTTTGACAGCGACTGTTTTAAAAAGGTCAATGAAGTTGCTTCTTCAGCAACCAAGACTGGGGAAGACAGTAATGTTCTCAAGATTTTTCTCTCCTCTTCCAAGCCTTTGGAGATTTCTTCAGGCCAAAGAGATGTGATTTTAGAGATTCCTCTCTCTGTTTCAACTGTCTCTACTTCTGCTCTACTTGTTGTTGAATTATCTCAGCCCCAAACCTCCCAGTCTTCTTTGGAAAGAAGCCAATCAAATACGAGTCTGGAGGTGCCCATTGTCAGCCATGCACCTCAGGTCATATCCACTATTATCACTACTGTTGTTTTCACTCCACCAATACAATCAGATGAAGGCCCTAGCACAATGTTTGAGACAGGTGGTTCATCCTCTATTCCAGAGTATTCTCCTACAAGACCCTCACTGGATGAAGCCTCAATCAGATTGGCTAAGCACCTTGCTCAACACAGTCCAACCTCTTCCTCGCGTGGCAAATGTATATATTTTAGAGACGGGCATTCAGGTGATGACAAGTCTACTATGTCACAACTTCGAGAAGAAATTGGTGTTCTCAGGAAAGAACTTATTGAAAAGAACATTCAACTGGAACAAATCGCTTCTCACGTAGAAGAGATTAAAGAAAGGGATGAAGAGAAGTCAAAACAGATTAAGGATCTGCAGATGAATCTTAGCTCTATGACTGCTTTCTACTTCAATTTGAAGAACGTTATGTATTATGCTTTTAGGGATAAAGTTAAAGCGTTATTTCAGCAGCCGCACAGAATTGAGGATCCTCCTATGGCCCCCACACAATCTACTTCTAGCGACCTTCCAGTTGATCCACCTCCTCCTAGAACAACTACAGTTGTCAATAGATTTGAGAAAGAACCTGAAGGAAGCAGAGCCCGCATCACAATCAAATAGAGAAAGAGGGCTGTTACAACTAACAAAAGCGAAGGTTTGCTCTTCATGAAAAATTCAAACTAGAATTGCAAAGCCAAAGACCCTATGCTAACAGTGACTGATCTGAAAAAGAGAAAATTTGGTGATGAGTTTAGAGATAGATCTGGAATTCGAATATGGGCCTTTGATCCCAGGTCAGGCATGTGGCTTGTGGAAAGGAACTCAGGAATTCCTGAGTACTACAAGACCACACATGATTTTAACTCGTGGACCAAAGTGGATCTTGCTGAACTTTCGAGAGCCCCATTCCATAATTCCTCTGAAGATCTCAGCGCGACAAACTTCAAAAGACTTCTTGATAGATAGGTCAAAGAAAACTTTCAAAAAATGAAGACTGCAATAGATTTATATAGAAAAAGATAAAGATATTCTAGATCCAGAATCAGGCGAGCCTATGAAGATTCTTCTTTGGCCTGCGACTAAACAGCAGAAGGAAATTCCTATTCCTCAACACTTCTGTGAGGGATACCTTGATAATATGGAATTCTAGGCTTACGAAGATGAAACTGCCACTGCTACAATAAAATTCAAGGATAGAGAACAAGTCTTGAGGATGATAAGTGCTAAAGATCTTGTAAGGTTCAAGGAAATGGATATCCACACTCTGTCTCGTCACCAGATTATATGTAGAAAGGATGTCATGGAGGCGGCTACAAAAGAGTTCACTGGAATGGTCACCACCATCATAAATGGAAGACTGTGGATGGGTTCCATGGGAAAGTCCTGATTTCAAGCTGTTTGAAAAGCCAACAGATTGAAAATCAAGTCTATGCTAGCCTCAAACCAAGGGGGAGTTTAAAAGACTATATTATTGTGGTTTGGGCTAGGCATTCTTCTTGTATAGATCTTGGTAGGGTGGTAGTGCATTTAGTGTAGTGATGTTTTGCTTAGACTCTGTGTGTGTGCGGCCGCACACACTGTATGCGGCCGCACATGTGTGTACGACTGCACTCATGTGTGATGGTGTGGGTAGTATTTAACGGGGTTGTCAGTGTGTTAGATGTATTAATGAACAGTGACGTATGTGTGTGTACTTTCAAGGTGTATCTGACATTTATGAGCAATAGATGTGTGCATGCTTGATGTTATTTATCTTCTACTACTTCTACACTCTATTTTGATTGTCATTACTTCACTGATTACTTATTTGGATCTATAGTTTGGGACTAACAATTGGCATTAGAGCCAATTCTGTATCAATTGAAGTATTTTAGAGTGTGAGGTTGAAAAATTTGACTATTTTGTGAAGTCTTTGAAGTGCATTTGTACTTTTTTGATCAAGGAACTGCTGTTTTTTACTATTTTCAATAGTTTGAAATCAAAATTCCATCAAAAATATGAGATTTTTGCATGTGCGGTTGATTCATTGAAGGTGTATGGTTGAAACATTGAATGTGTGCGGTTGAAACATTGAAGGTGTGCGGTTGAGAAAATTTGAAGGAGTGCAGTTGAGTGTGTGCGGTTAAGTTTGCTGTTGTGTGTGCGGTTAAGTTAGCTGTTGTGTGTGCGGTTAAGTTTGCTGCTGTGTGTGCGGTTACGTTTGATGTTGTGTGTGCGGTTATGTTTGCTGTTGTGCATGTGGTTAAGTGTGAAGTTGCGTATATGGTTGTGTGCGGTTATAATTTGTAATTGTGTGTGCGGTTGTAGTGTGTGGTTTCAATCATCTAAGTTGTTCAAATTTTTAAACATGGAATCTCAAAGCATGACAGTACATCAAGAAGTTAACTCCATCATGGGAACAACTTCTCGGATTCCCCGACTCTTGAATGTTTAAGGCTTTCCAGAATGGAAATACCAAATCGAAAAGTATATTAAAATGAAAGATTTCAAAATTTGGCGCAGTATACTTAGAGGACCAATTCGAATTAATACTGTAGTGGATGAAGTCATTGTCGAAAAAAAAATTGAAAACTATAAGGATGAGGATCTCGAAAGAGTTGAAGAACAGGAGAAAGCCCTTGCTACGCTTACAATGGCATTATCTCCAGAAATTGCTCAGGGTTTCCGTGAGTATACATCTGCGAAGGAACTTTGGGATGGTCTAATAGAAGTCTATAAGGGTAATGAGGATATGAAGCAGAGTCGTCAGGACATGCATCAACAAAAGTTCAACATGTTCAACTATGTCCTGGGCGAAACTCTTGAGAATCAGCTCCAGAGGTTCATTACTCTCAATACAGAAATGAGTTTTGCATGCGTTTCAGTAACAAGATCAGGAATCAACAATAAATTGTTAAACTCTCTTCCAAAATCCTGGGACATGAATGTCTCATTGATTAAGAAAACAAAAGACTTGAACAGGTTGAGTCTAGCAAAAGCTATGGCTATCATCAAGGCTTGTGATCTTAATGACAAGCAGAGGGAGATTAATCATGTTAATTCTTATTCCACTGCAAATCTAGAGATCCAAACCACAAACAACAATGCTTTTTCAAGCTCCACAGTTGCACAAGCTCCTCAAGTTACCCCAACTACACATGTTTCACAAGTTCAACCCTTCATGACTCATCAATCGATTCCACCTACATCCTATGTTCCCCTTTCCATGCAACAAGATCAAGTCTCTCAACCTCTGATCATGTTTCAACAAGTTAATCTCAATGTTAGATCATCTAATGTTGTACCTTCTCAGTCTCATGCTTTCAGCTCTCAGATGTCAAACATGAAAAAAAGGAAGAAAGTATGGCTCTTGCCGCAGGTTTGGTAAACTGCTAAACTGCTTTTATGGCTGGAGAACTCTCTCCACAACTTTCGTTTGTCGATATTGATTAGATTCATCCTAAAGATATATAAAAGAGATGGATATAACCGGGCAAATTGTTATGGCTGTGTTCAGGGTAAAGCAGTTTTCCAAGAAAACTAGCAAAAACAACTGGAGTGTGAATTCTGACAAAAAGGTTGGGTTTAACAAAGGCAAACTTCGCTGCTACAATTTCCATGAGCCAAGGCATTCTTCCTGTATAGATCTTGGTAGGGTGGTAGTGCATGTAGTGTAGTGGTGTTTTGGCTTAGACTCTGTGTGTGTGTGTGGCCACACGCGTGTGTGCAGGCGCACACACTGTGTGCGACTGTACTCATGTGTGCTGGTGTGGGTAGTATTTAAAGGGGATGTCAGTGTGTCAGATGTACTAATGAACAGTGACGTATGTGTGTGTACTTTCAAGGTGTACCTAACATTTATGAGCAATAGATGTGTGCATGTTTGATGTTATTTCTCTTCTACTCCTTCTACACTCTATTTTGATTATTATTACTTCACTGATTACTGATATGGATCTATAGTTTGGGGACTAACAATTGGTATCAGAGAAAGGTTGTATCAATCAATTTTGTCGGATCTGTAGCTTATTTGATCTAATTTTGAAAAGATTTTTGCATTTTTGGATAGATCTTTGAAAAATAGGGGGGGTAGGGGGGCTGTGCTTTGCATTTTTCATAAAAACGAGTTTTTGATCGAGTTTTAGAGCAAAAAAGGATGAAAAACATCATTTTTTCATGAAGCTGCTGAAGGTGTGCGGCTCGGATGTGTGCTGTCACAGTGTGCGGCTAGGTGTGTGTGGCTCGGACTTGTGCGGTCTCGGTGAGTGCGGCTCGAAGTGTGCGGCTAGGTGTACGTCTCGGCTCACGACTCAGCTTTGTGCGTCCTATGCATAAAAAGAAGGACCTTTGAGGGTGCCAAGTTTCGAACCCAGGTCTCCAGCTTCATCAAACATGTCTATTACCAGTTGAGCTACAAGGCAATTGGTTAATGTTCTCACTCCTATACATAAAAAGAAGGACCTTTGAGGGTGACAAGTTTCGAACCCAGGTCTCCAACTTCATCAAACATGTCTATTATCAGTTGAGCTACAAGGCAATTCGTTAATGTTCTCACTCGTTTAAATTTTATACATTTCGCAGCAGTAGCAAATAATCAAAAGAAATTTTGGAGGTGCCAAGAATCGAACCCTAGTCACCTGATAATCAAGTCCAACACCTTACCATCTCATCCGACTTCTTGGATGTTCTTTTCCTCCCAAATTTAATTCAAAAGGACTCTCTTTCGGTTCCTAATTTCGCATTTTTTGACATATTTTCCCAAAAATCAATTTCCTTTATTTTTAAATTTCATTTTGAACCAAAATTTTAGATTCTATTTTTTCACTTTTTACTTAAACTTTTGACTTTGACTTTTAATTTTTGACCTTTGACTTTAAATTTTGACTTTTTCGTTTGACTTTAAAAATTTCAAATTTAGCTTTTCAGTTTGACGTTGAAGTTTGACTTTTAAGTTTAACATTTCAAATTTGAATTTTAAGGTTGACTTTCTCAGTTTTTAAGTCAAAGGGAAATTAATATATATATATATATATATATATATATATATATATATATATATATATATATATATATATATTATAAAAATGAGTTCCACATCAATTCCGGTAAATGAAGTTTCATGTACTCTATCTAGTGTTAAAACTATTAAATTTTTACGCGAATCAATAGATCTAATCAAAAGGGAAAATGAGGATCTAAAATATGAGAGGTACACTATTAGGAAAGAACAGAAACCCCTGAAAGCTCAATTAGAAGCCAAAATCAAGGATTTCCGAAAACTTCAAGAAGATTACAGCAATAAGTGTGAGACTTATGATCACATCAAAAGAAAACTTGCTGCTGTGACTGGAGAACTTGACGCTTTGAAAATTAAGTGTGGAAAAACAGATATTAGTTTCAAAAATTACACTGCGTCCAGTAAGACAGTCGAGTCCTTATTTGTAAACCAATTAAAATTCAAAGATAATCAAAACAAGGGTTTAGGGTATGATTGTGTTTCTCCACCTTTCAATCATAACTACACATCCATCCCTATGACACATGAAGAAATTAACAAGGAGGCACATCTCTAATATGGGAAACCTATTGTAGTTGTGCCAGAAAAGGATGAAGTGAACGATTCTAATGATTCTGTTACATGT